TTAATAAAACACATTAAATAGATTAAGATCTGGCTAATTGATAGAGTTCAGCAAGCTGTTCTAACCAGATACTCAGCACTGACTGGGGATATTTTTAGTGGGGCTCTGCAGGCAGGAACACTATGCTTGCTGCCATTTGATGTTCTGGAATTACACAGAAACCTGGATAATATTGGCAAATGTCCTGAAGTCTAATGAGGAATAGGCAGCTATGGAAAGTCACAGTTTTGCCTGCATTGGCATAAATGCGTTTCTGGTATTTGATTACATCCTTTCCCTTCAGTTCTGCACAAGCACAGAGCTTCTCTTGCAGGCTATAGTTGCAAGGCTGTGGTCTAGTCAGCGGCTGAGGGGCATACAATGATTTCTCTCAGGGGTCATTGATTTTGACTACTAACTCATGTATTATCAAAAGCAGTAGTATGAATCATTTAAAAAGTGTAAACTGTGAAACCAGGAGCCACCTATGAATGATCTTTAAAAGCCAAAGAAGCCTCACTGCACACTTCTACATGTCTGTATTTAAACTAGCATGAATATAAACCTAAGATTAAAATATGTTTACAGCTTCACAAAGTCAGGAAATTCTAGCCCATTGGCTGAAGCAGAATTTGATATCAAAAAAATAAAACAAGAAAGCCAGATGAGGTAAGCAAAAATACCCCCAAAAGAACTGACCAGAACATTAATGATCAGTCATATACAAAGCATACACAATCTCTACTATTATCACTTTCTGGTCAGCTGATCTAAGCATGCCTTTCCTCATTCTCCATTTTCTTGGTTAGTTCTTGAACTGGACTGAGATTAGATAATGCTGAATTAATATTAGTCTCCCTTGCTAGATTTAGCTCTGACCAATCTTTTTAATATTACTACATGTAGTTACAAGCCTACCTAAGCAAAAATCAAAATGAGAGTTCATACTCATTTTGATAGTGTAGACTGTTAAAGATGCTCTCTTTCTCAGCAAAATCTTGCTAGCAAACTGTTATCCTTTTAACATTTGCTTTCTGTTTGACCTTGCAGAACAAGATGACTGATAAATGTAAGACACTATCCAGAAGAAAACAATGAGGAATATACTCTCTCCCCTCACTGTCTAAAACACAGATTCGGATACATATATTCCACAATGCATTGGGATGTCTTCTTTCATTTGTTATGTATCAATTTAACATCTAAAATCTTTCCACAAGTCCATCATTTTACAAACCGATTATTAAAACTCTTGGTGTCAAAACTATGCAACCTCAGAAGTGTCCTACTAAACATCAACACCTTCTAAACACAGTGCAAACCAGCAACTGAATGTCTCATCTGTCCACTGTTTTTTTTCTCCACTACACAAAAAGCAAATGTCTTTTTTTTTTCTGTTTCAAAGCCAAATTGTTCCTTCTTTTTTTCCCTTTTTTTTTGTTTGTTTTTGTTTTACAACAGAATTCCTCACCAGCTAGGTCATTCAATGGGACCCCTTTCTGTGCATGTCATCACTATTACTGAGTTTTCCTATGTCCTGCACTATCCTGTCTCCCTCTGCACAACCCCACAACCCTCATTTCCATTGCTCTCTGCTTCTGGATTTGCATCCAGCTTAGAGCAAAATTTTCAAAAGGGACCTGCATCCCTCACATTCACATGTAGTGAGCTGCAATATTTTTCACAGTTGGTGTTTTTAAAAAGGACTGCTCAATGTTTTATTGTGCGGTGACCGGTTTGAGGGGGTTTTTTTGTGTGTGTTTTTTTTTTTTCCTACGAGTCTGTTTTCCTAACAGCACATTGGCAGTGTGAGGATCCTTGGCCTTTTGGCTACTCTGAGATAATATCTAATCATCAACACCCAGCTCTTCATACTGATTCTCTAAAAGACAAATATTGCCGATATTCCAAAAACGTATGCATCTTATTCCACTTCCAAAAGCTTTTTATCATTCTTCTAATTTTGGTCCTTCCTTTTCTTCAGTTGAAACTAACCAGCTTATCTCTGTCCTCCCTAGAACTGTGGGACAATTACATTACCAGATTTTCTATCAATCCCCGACTCCCAGTCTATTCTCTTTTTTGCAAGTCTGTCCGTGACATTTTCGTCATCCTAATTATTTCATTTTTAACCTTATCTTTACCTTTCCTATTTACAATTCATGCTATTATCTTTCTTTTGGGTTTGCCAGCTTTTTTTTTTTTCTTTTCACTTGCACTGCCTGTGGTGAACATATCAGTAGGATGGCGCATTCTTCAAATAGCTTCAACTGAGTTTTGACTTCTCCTTATTCTCCAAACACCTGCATTTACATCTTTACAGGTTTGCTTACTCAGTTCCATCTTCTTTTTCATTTCTGTCTTCTAGCCATAGTCCTCATATATTTTGTTTCCCATACACTGTTCCTTTTTTTCTGGCTACAGAAATCTATCAACCCCTCCAGTTTCATCAGCAATGTATCCTTTATTTTTCATGAGGACATAAGTGAAGCTACACTTATTCTTTGAACATCACGATCTTTTTATTGTTCAGACAGGGAGTACCTGTGTACACACAGAGATTAGCTGAAGTGAAAAAAAGTATGGAGCTCGGTGTAAGATGAAATAAAGACATATTGCCGTAGGGTTTACAAAAACAGATTAGGCACTAGAGTGGTTATCAGAACTGTATTCAGCGCTCCTGAAGAAGCTGCAAAATGAGGTGACCAATGTGCACTGCTTCTCTGGTTTTATTATGCAAGAAGAGGTGCTATATATATTTAGTACCGTACAGAACAAGTCTGTTCTTTACACCGTTTTAGTCATTTCCAAGCTTCCAACTTATGTTGACAGTGCCGTGCCGTGACTCACTTTAATAGCTACCTCACCTGTTTCTGACCTGAATAACCTTTTTATAGAGTCTGGCGTACAGTGTAAACGCTTCTCGTGCCACATCGCACTTCAGAAGCCGGCGATACCACCCCATGTCACCTGCTTCCATGACTTGGGG